CATCGCATCGCATCGTATCGATGCTCAGAGCTTCCTTCGCCTTTGTTGGATTGATGGAGCAGCAGTGGCTGCTGTTTGTTGCTATATTGCTGCTGTTGCTGCTGCTACTGCTACAATGTTAAATGATACTACCACCAACCATTATAGTCGTTCGTTGTGAGGAGGTATTCGTGTAGCGCGTTATGCTGATTGCCGATGTCTGGCATCGAACCTACCTACCTACATACAACAAACAAACCATCATTCCAAATCGTCGCCTCACCCATCGCTGCTATCACTCTCACCTCAACATCGCACAATGCACATCGCTGAGCACTTAAAATAATCGACTCCTCAACTTTGCAATTAATCAGCCAATCATGAGCCAATTAGACTGCATAGATCGACACCAATGTGAAACGATCTGATCTGAAGGATCCACTTAAATTCACGACAATAATCACTCTTACGCAAAAGACTTATATTGCTTAGTCATGATCTTGAGGTAATGCTACGAGATGCTTAGTCGCGATCTAGAGGTAATGATACGAGATGCTTAGCCATGATCTTAAGGTAATAATACGATTGAGGTAATGATAGAAGATGCGAGAAACTTCCGCTAGGCATTTGATAACGGTTGAGAAACAGCTAACAATAAGATTGCTCCAGCAATATTGGTTTCGTACAGTTAGTTGTATGATGCCGAATAAGATTAATGTGGTACGGCGCATAAAGGCAAAAGACATCTGCAAGCCAAAAAACCTATTACATGAATACGAAGGGGACNCTGCTGCTGCTGCTGCTGCTTTGGTTCTGAATGCTGAATGTTGTTGTATGCATTGTTGTTGTTACTGCACTCACCAATACTGATTCCATCTATGAATGCACAGAATCATTCAATCGTTCACTCACATCAGTTAGTTTCCCGTCTTGTTCGTCTCCTTATCACACTGTTGTTGATTCACATTCGTTGATGATGGCTCATTCGAGCGACCATCGAGTAGTACACATATACACATACACATATATGATGTATATATGATGAAATAAATTGTTCGTTGAATATAATGTCGATGCCACACTTCTTCTCAAACAGAAACCAGTCGTAATGACTGTGAAACCAGTAGTTGTGGTGGTGTGTTATTCATTCGAGCACGAACGAACGAACGAATTTTTCGTCGTTTCATTTCGACGTTCTCATCAACCAACAACACCATCACCCAATGAACGTTTCGTCCATTATTCCGAGACATCTCAACTGCAGCATCCTCACCTGCATCATCATTGCCATCTAAATGAGCACATTGTTACTACTCTGGAGCACTAACAATCAGTATGAACACACCAAGAGCATGAATGATAAACGCCTGTCGATAGCGTTTACGATGCTGTTTCGTGTATTATCGGCGTCACATTTATAAATGCCGGATCAAGTACACCGTACAAGTTAGCATGAATTCGCGGTGTATATTAATACAACTGTGAACGTTTACATAAAATTATTATTGTTATCGTATTCGATGCATACTGAGGACGTCATGCAGTTGNATGTAGCATGATAATTAGAATAGATATGAAATGATTACTGACTGCATAAGCTGGATGGTGGTGATGTACGATTGTAAGGACAGAGGAAAGAACTGAAGTACAACAACGCACGAACAGTAGAACAGTGTAAGTAACAAGAACGCGAAAGCGAATCCATTCATCAAACAGCGTCACAGCTAACGACCATCGAATATGACTGTTAAATTCAACATCAATTTCTTGGCTGAAGTTGCATTGCTCATATGTTGCAGTCATCGCCTGATCAACTGATTCGTTGAGTGCACGAAAACATAATAATACGTGGAATGAAGCAATCTTTTAAACCTGGAAATATAAGATCGTCAAGCTTTCTGACATTCGATTGTACGCTTTTGTGTTCAAGAAAGGATTCATTCGTATGAAGGAAAACATCGTCGCTAATGAAATGTTTGATTAGTGCTGATAAGATATAGTTGAGTGGGTTACAGATGATAAAGTATGTTTATATCTTGATGACAAAGCATACGACTTCTTGATACTGTCAGCATATACTATATGACTTCTTGGGTGATGTCGTCATTTAACAGTTTTACATTGCTACAGTTAGTGGTGAATTGAGCTTTCTCATCAGCAGCATTATCACCGATGTTTAATGAGCGATGCGGCAAAATATCAGAAAAGCCATACAATACTAAAAACAACTCAAACGTTACGAATAGAAAGCTGTACAAAAGCACCTCAGAAATTGAAAATCTCAAGAAGTGTATCTCAACTGCACAGTTTACTGTCGAAGTGGAATGTGTAGTTGAAAGTGTAGTTGACAATCAACGATGACTAAACTTGTGAACGGGATGACGCATACAAAAGAGGAGAATCGAACACAAGACTTGATAGTAAGTAGAATGAAGAAAATAAGAATGCGAACGTCGTCACTTCTTCACTTCAACGCATCAGCACAAAAAAAAGTGAATTTGTTGTCGATAGGAGTTATTTATGAAACAAGAAGAAAACTGGAAGAAGATAAGAAGAAAAGAATGTCACCAGATCGACCGACATCAGCATTGGCGATGGCGTGGCGTCGTCAACTAACACCAGCAGCAGCAGCAACAACAGTCAATACGAGAATATGAAGAAGAAGGATGACTGAAGGGAGAATGAAGGCGTGTCATCGACGCCAACACCGTCGTTGAAATCGTTGGTCATGTGTCACCACCACATATGCGCCGGCCGATACTGCGGATGGTTTCAATAGATGCAGTAGTAGAGGGCGCACGATGCAAGAATTAGAATGTCGCTATTGTTGTCATCATTGTTATGATTGTCGTCGTCGACCTTTGCAGCAAGTCAATGATGAGGTAATGGCGTTTGCTGTATGCTGCATTGTATCTGTCTGTCCTTTTGTGCATCTGTGTTGCAGCAACAGCAGCAGCAGGCTCAATGGCACAATAATCAATCAGTAACGATAGTTGAGCTGAATGAATGCAACCAACGATGATGAATAACGGATGGAATAACAGATAGATAGATGATAGCTTCGACTTATAGCAGCAGCAACTAGACTGACTGAATAACTGTTGCTGTTACTGCTGCTAGTCACAACCTCACAGAACATATGTCGTCCGTAAACCAACGAACCAACGATGATGTCTACTACATCTAACGGATAATGAAAGATGATGTTGCTGCAGATGATGACTATGGATGGACGCGAATAGATCAACTCGGCACTCATCCAGCAGCCTTCCGTTTAATGTGTGCTGCATCTGAACTGCCGTACTGATGCGCTCTTGGTAGCGTTTCTATTGCAACAATGAACGACGGATGAAGAACGAAGAACACATTTATTTGTTGTAGCGCTAGTGAGTGGATGATGATGGGATAGGATAATGGATGGGTTAAGAATAATGCGATCCTTCGAGAGAATGATGATCGTGAGACAAGAGCACCACCAAGAGCACACCAGATATGTGTGTGTGTGTATCTACATATACACACACGCCAGATACTACGACTATAAGCAAACAGATTTTAGTACTTCATCGTCGATGATGATGACGACGACGACACTGATGACGATTGGCTTATTTGTTTTGTTGAGCAGATGCAGATGACGAAAAGATGTGAATAGTTGTGTTAGATACGGCGGCTTAATTGGATGGATGGATGATACGCGGCTAACTGAATACTTCGGATGAGTGAACCATCCAAGAGTGAATCAAGAGGTCAACTTGGATTGCGATTGCAAATGGTGTTAGTGCTGCTGCTGGGAAAGGGCGAGCCATCCATCCATCCATCCGTCCATCCGTCCGTCCGTCCAAACACGAACCGCAAATTGATCACTACTGCATACCAGATCAGAACACTGTTGTCTTGATTCAATCACGCAACAATGCTCAACGTATACAATAATGCATGTGATCGATGCGCGCGCGTGTTCCACTCAATGGGAAACAGAAACAGAAACGAGAAATGAACAATGATGTGAAATGAAGTGAATGACTGCTGCCATGATAAGTGAAGCTGTACGGCATCGTTCAAAACTGCTTATCAGTATCGGAGTTATCAGTATAAGGTCATAATCAGTATGTAACTGAAAACAAAGTTCAGTAGCACACCGTCTTGAAAGCGCACGGAATGTTTGGAATCTACTAAAGTATCGTTGAACTATTGCATAGAAAGGCAATGCTAAACGTTTTCAAGCATTAATCTAACGTGAATAATGTCAGCAATTGAAAAATTTGTCATCATTAAAACTTTAGCATCTGAGATCGTTGAATGAATAAGTGGGACAAGATTTGAGGTTTTTTGTGTTTCTTGTGTTGAGCAATATGATTAGTTGTACTGAAAGAACAATGCAACAAAACAAGAAGAAAGTGACATTCGGTGATTAAATAGATGAATACTGTGGTGAGAAGCTATCTATGATTATTGAGTGAATGAATGAATGGACCATTGGAAATGTTTATTTGAGTAACGAAAGCACGAATGATTCAGTTCTAATGCTGACTGTACAGTTTACAGGTGAATCGTTCGGAAGCAATACAGCGAAGCGAAGCATCAAGAATCACTCCACTCGTCGGCATTATCATAATCACAACAGATCATGCTTATCAATCTAAAAAGAGTCGCGTTCGTTCAATACAATACTTATTCTCTATAAACGAAAACGTTTCTATCGTCATAACTTTTCATCTTACTGAACGTTGAAACTGCATGATGAATGTGACGCTGAACAATGACAATTTACTGTTGAAGCAATTTGCTGCTATGTGGACAGCATCAATTCATTTGTTCCCGTTATAATCTCAATAGAAAACATCATTTGAATCACACTAATAATCTTTTTCGAAGCATCAAATTCACTGAATAATAGGAAGATGACATACGACCCAACAATGGAGCGACCCATCGTCGTCGTGTTGCTCCGATAATGCTGAAACAATGCGGGCCATAACTCAATAACTCAATTGCACTGATTCAATTGTTCTCATGTTTCGTTGCATTTTGGAAGGATGACTGAACGAAGAAGATATGTGACGATGATCACATAGATACATACGTTGATAGACAGACAGATGGATGGAAGATGGTGCTGTTTTTTCTTCTCAGAGGGATGCAATTGGTGAGCGGGGAAGGATTAACGAATCGTAACTGGCCTTCTCTACTTCTCTTTTATCTTCTCTAATGGTGAAATGCTGATCGTCATCGCTGATCATCAAGTTCTTCGATCTTTCAATTCACCACTTCTTGAAGCTCAACACACTTGAGTACAACAACAAAAACACTTGACTGTTAGGGATAGTAATCAATTCAAACATATTACTAAACCCGTAAACTCAATTGATTTCTTAAAAATTGTTCGATTGGAATCGTTGTGCTGAGACTGTTTATTGGTTTCTGTTGACTGTTTTACATTATTTGATTTGTAGCCATGATCATTTGTGATCATAAACAATGGAGAAGAACGGTAAAAGTCGAAAAGAAGGACGACATAGCTACTACTTACGATCCGTACGGCAATTCAGTTCGTCACAATTCAGTGTACGTATCAATGATGAGCGCATGATATTGATGATGTTTGAAGAATCCGTGGATCGTGTGCGCGTTGTTCGATTGTTCACATTTGAGGAGGCATGAACGCGTGAGCTATTGTGATATTACGATCGTTGTTGAGATGATGCTCGCTTCTCTTAAGATGTTGTCGGTGGTTGCTGGTCTTCTTGTTCGTCAGCTACTACTAGTGCTTGTGTTTCATCAGCACCAATACCAACAAACGCACCTAAATGATGCGATGCTATTTCGAAACACGTTATCGCTACTAAGACGGCTAACACGGCTTTCTCTAAGTCGTCAGCGACTGACATTCATTCTCCACTGCTCAACAAAGCGGTTGCGTTACCAGTCCGGTTGCATCGAACAATTTTGAGTGTAAAATTTGTTCACATAGTGCCATCATCAGATGATGAATGAGCATTGCCTCCTCTTAAGTACCTTCTTCTACAAAAAAACTCCAAAACTCATTGAGTAAATGATACTCTCTCACATTTTGTGATTCTAACAATCTCATTATTTCAGTGCCTACAGCTACAAGTAACGTTAGCAGCGTTTAGAACTGGATGAATAGAATGTGGATTAAGTCGTGATTAGAAACAGATTTGACGTTATTAGGGAAGTACTTTTCGCATCAGTGACGATCCATCATGATGATGATGATGGTAATGCTGGACGGAATGAACAGTTAGAACGTGTGATATTTTATACGATGATGATCTGATCATGACGTTGAAAGCGTAAGCAACAAGCCAGAAGCAATAGATAGGAGCGATTGAAAGAACGATTGAAGAAAGCACGAGCGAGAATCAGAAGCGGTGAAAGTGGCCGTAATACTAGTGCAAGCACGACATAAAACACTAAAATATCAAGCTTCGAAGCCTTGAAGCACTCCCTCGGGAGGCAATCGATAGGCTACGGCCGGACAACGCTTCGCTCTAAGAAACGACAACATCGACGACAACTAACGACCGACCACAAGCACATAGATGGAAACTGACGTTGAAACGAACGAACGAATATGTGAAGGAATGAACACCATATACAGGAGATGGCAACAGGAGCAGGAGAGAACAAAGACACAGAAGAAGGATCATAGAAGGGAACACAACATCGAATGCAGAAGAACAACGACGGATTGATGAAGAAACAGATAGCGGGTTACTGAAGGACGTCAACGATGACTGACTGCCTTGATGTGAACTGAATGGTGTTGAACTGCAAATAACAATAATGATGATGACGATGATGAGGATACATTCATGTATGTGGCAGTGAAGACTACCAAAAGACGGAGTTGATATTGGATAAAGAAAATTAACAACTGGTGAATCCACCATCTAAAATCTATCGTCATGAAAGTGGCATCACCCAACAAATTCACTGATTCATTAGTTCAGCGGCGGCGCGCACATCTGCCTATCTCTAAACGCGAATTCTATCGCATTAATTGTATCCAATCGCATCTGATCATCTAATTATTCATCATTATAACAACATCAACGCGAAATCCGAAAGAAGTGGCTAATTGAAAATTTACGCAAAATTTAAGTGGACTTTTGAACTTTTCAAATTTTGAAAATTCTACCCTCCTCATATCCGTTGAATTACTGAAGGTCAACCCATTGAATGTTTAGGTTGGTGGTCATTATCGCGGTTACTTATTATTGAAAATGAGTCAGTGAACATGAATTCAGCGATATACTATCGGACGAGAAAGTAGCTTAGAGAAAAGACAAGAAAGTGTTTCGAAGCTGGAATGAACTTAAGATAAGAGAAAACTTATCATCGTCCTCATCACGATCTCATCATCATCATCATCATAAGACATCTTCCAGTGAAAGTAACGTCGATTGGAAGAAGTACTAAATAGAAGTGTTCGCTCCTCACAAATGCATCCGTAATGTCATTGCTCCTCATTGTTTAACAACAACATTCAGCAGCATCAGCAGCAGCTATCTAGAGCCACAACACATTGATTATCCTCCACACCAACATCTCAACAATCATTAGACAGCAACTGACTGCTACTGCTACTGCTCCGAATGATGGATACTTCTCACTTAATGCTAATACTAAT